TAAAAGAATGCCACTCAGTGTCAAACGTGCTATAATTGCAGGGGAAGAACTGAATAAATTAGGCACATTAACAGCGGTTAAACCTACAGTGTCCTGAACTTCAAAACCATGAAGATTTTTGTTAAATCCTATAGTATACAGATTTTTATAGATTCACGAAGTAAATCACGCGTTTTCGTATCCATCTTATTAGTGCACTAAGCTGTATATTGTCTCGCACAGATATACTCGGACGAAACGAAGGCCGCGGGGGTGCTACACGTCGTACGTCGCCGTCGCACGTCGCCGTCGTGGCCGCGCGCACACACGTCGTTCTCGTCGCCGCCACTCCAGAAGACGATCCACCCGCGCGGGTCCCTCGTTTGCGCGGGTCCCTCGTTCGCGAAAACGGGACAAGGACGATACGCGGGGAGAGATGGTCTCACTCGCGCACGTCAACACACATCGCCTCGCCACGGGAACGTCGGGAACGGGGATATCGTTTCCTTCGCCAACGGGGACGAGGTCGTGTCTCGCGGAGGGCGAGAAAGAACGCGGGAATCGCCGCGAGTCCGCCGGTACCGATACTGTCCGCGCGATTTAATCACCGTCACTGCGACAGTCGTCGTCGCCGTCGTCGTCGTCGTCGTTGCCGCCGCCGCTCGCCGCGGTGAAGAGATGGCCGCACAAACGCAATCACGCTTCGAAGTCGAAGGGATGATCGCACAAACTCAATCACGCCGCGCTATCGTGAACGCAACAACGTCGCGCTCCGAGGTTGGGATGTCGCGCGTCGAGGCGGTTGAAAAACAAAAGAAAATAGTTTCGCGCGGGCTTCAGTTTCAAAATAGGTCAAAATAACCAGACACTTGTCTGGTTATTACTGGACACGCGTGAACCAAACTATTGGATTAACGTGACATGTATGATTATAATAACCAGAAATTATGTTTAATTCCACCAATACTCCTTTAAACATACATGTCACGTTAATCCAACTATGCTCTTCTTCCCTTGTAGTTATAATAACCAGATACTTGTATATTATTACTACAAATGCACTAACCAAATTCTAAATGGTATCATACCCAAACATTCTGGTTGCGTACCAGAATATTTGATTACAATAACCAGAAATTCTGTTTATTTCAACCAAAAATTGCTTAACAAAACGCATCTTGTTAATTCAACCATGGTTGTTTTTTCCGTGTGGCATTTTTCTCTCGACGACTGACTCTTCTGCCTCAATAAAGCAACTTGTGAAATACAACGAAAATTAGCGCGTTCTTTATACAGTGTAAAAGTGTAAAACGATTTTCGAAAAAGTTTATCTAGACTTGGAATTATTTTGACGGTGTACTAACACACTTAATTTGTTGTCGTACGTTTTTATTGACGACTCTTGAGTCATCCTATAAATAATGCGGTATAAAAAGGAGCTTAATTTATTCTTAGCTCAAAACCGAAAGACTTTTATCGCCAGGGGATTAAAAATTTAAAATTAAGATGGGAAGAAGTTGTAAATAATAATAGAAAATAAAAATGTTCAATTTTTTGTTTTATTTCAAAAATATCTACAAAAATCGTAATACTTATGGGATGACCCAATACGTAACGCATTCAATTGATACAACATATTTGCATACTAGTAGTATCTTAGTTTATTTCTTCTCTCCGGGCCGCTTTATTTTTTATGTAGTCATTTATGACACGGCATATGTAATTTATGGCACACGCGTCAATTGAGGGTTCTTGACAGCACACAGCCACTGCTAATAAAAAAGTAGCGTAGAAAGCAGTTCCTATAATACGGCCGGGATCAACGTCGACCAATCGTAGATGAATTGGACGTTCTATAAAGGCGGCAGCGCGAGCTTGGCGTTTATGGTTTATGATGACCAGAGTGCTCGATGACCGTAAAACACCCTGACATAGTTTAATAAAAGACCGAAGCCCGACCAACCAACGGGGCTCGGTGGCATAAAGCAATCGTTTTATGTACCATAAAATGTTACGGCGGCTTTTCGCGCGAGGGGGCTTGTCGCGTCTGAAAAAAAAGCATAAAAGTACAGACGACAAAACGTCGCGACGCTCCACGATAGGCGCGTATCCAGTTCAATGTTCGCTGCAAGCTGTGCGCGGCTACGGAACAATCAATCATTCTTGATCTCAATATGGAAATATTTATTCATTATATCATTTTAACGTCGGTCGCATCAATCGTTTCTTCCGAGTTGTATACACAGATATCGACAGCTGAGAATAACCGCCACTGCGGTTACGCAACAATGATCGTCTGTTGTGCTGGCAATGAGTGAAACTTCGTGGAAATCTATCCAGGTCGAGTTTAAAAAACAAAGTCACTGATATAATTTGTCATGTAACATTAACGCGCGCGTGCTGAAAGAAGAAACTGAATTATATTTCTTGCCGTAATATCATAAATAAAAAATATTTTAATAATTAATATATCAACATAATACTTAATCAAGAGCGAAGTTTTATGCATTAATTTATTTTCTCAAAAATATTTTCTATATGAATGCTACATTTTTTTAAATCTTAAATATTAATTATAGTTATCATAAACAAACATTATATTTCTTGGAGCGTGTTATCTCAATAATGGTAATAATTGCTAATAATGAGAAATAATTCACAATTGTCAGGCAACGATTTTAATACGTTATTCCTAGTTCTTCGGAGCATAGTGATTAATTGATTCGCTTGCTACTGGCTTATTTGCGAGATGAAAGACCGTAGAAGGGTGAAACGATGAACGCAATTAGCTTGCAGGGCTAAAAGGGATTTCATGTTGTGCCGAGATGAAAAGATGAAAAACGCTCCGCGTAAAAGGACACACGCTCGTAAGAGTCGTAAGATTCGAAAAATACGAGATTATTTTGGCGAACTGACGGATTTGCCATACGATCCAGGCGGCTTTTTAGACGCGGTTGCGCGCACAAAATAGCGGGCCGCGATATTTTCAGAACGTATGCGACTGCAACCGCGATCCGCCGCCGCGCTGCACCGGTATGCAACGACATGGCATTGTAAATTGTGCCCCAGTGGTGTTATAGATACATAAGAATATATTTCTTTGTGAGCTTATGAATATTTAGATGCAATCTCGTGGCTGTTGGTTAATTAATTTGTAATGTGGATTATATAGCAGGCTTGATAATGAATGTTACGCATTCATCATATCCATTTAAATTGAATTACTTTTCTCACAAGTGATCTGTTCATTGCAACGATTTGATTTTTATTTTTGTTTTTCACAATATTCATTGATCCATAGTTCTTTTAGTTCTTAATAAATACTCTTATAAATGCATCCCGATTTTCATTATTTACCACAATTTATTTTGAAACGATGATTTCAGCAGCATTTCGGGAGACAGCTTATATATCATTATGTAAATGCTATTTTTGAATGTCGAAGAGTTGTTTCTTTCTTTTATTTGTCGACGGAGAACGAGCGAGAAAAATTATTCGTACAATCTTATGAAACTTTTATTCCTAGAGCGACTGGAAAAACGCACTGAACACGCGATACCGTCATGACATGACACTTGATGCTTTAATTGCGCATATTCTTCACGCGAGCGTCGATACTCACGCTTCATCGGTCTTTAGCAAATTTTACACGAAAGCGCGAACGTTGATGAAAAAATTATGTTCAAAGTTCAGCGAGCGGAAATAATCGGATCGACTGCTGTTCACCGCGGTCTTCGGATAAACTAAATAAGACTGCTAAGGAAAACGCAGACTGTCACGCGTGTTCGCGCACGAGCCAAGCAGCGACAGAAATATCCAGCCTTGACTTCCTCTTTTTCTTTTTTTTTTTATTTTGTTTTTTCTCGTCAATTTCCTTCTTCGAAGACTGCATTCCGCGCCGTTCGCTCCAGAACTGCTTGCTGAAAGGATCATTTGCTCTCGGCGGAGTCTGATGCGCGCGCGAGCGATCTGAACCGGACAGATCTGAGAAGCATAGCTGCTCGCCGACGCGTCGCGTCGTGTTGCTCGTTTCTGCGACGCGCGCGATTTGGTACACGCCAGTAGGCACGATCGTCTACCACGCCATTGAAATGATCGCGATGTCATAAGTGTCATAGGGATTCTATCGACTGGCGAGCGATGCAATCGGACGTATCGAAGTCGACCCCGGCGCGACATGCTCCGCCGTGGCGAACGAGCGGCAGCTATATCAGCGAATGCATCTCGATGTGCCGTACCGTAGACATCCGCGAGGTCGGGAAAAATACGATTTGAATCGCTTCGGAGCGTCTTGAGATCGTGCCCCTTTAAAAATTGAAACTGAAGACGTTGACGAAGCGGTCTTTTAAAAATGCTTTATATATATATATAGTTATTTTTATTGTAAATTGTTCAGGGGGAGAGAGAGAGAGAGAGAGAGAGAGAGAGAGAGAGAGAACGATACAATTCTAAAATATCGTGGAAACTTCGGATAGAATTTCAAGAATTTATCTTTTTTATTGCAAGTTTGTTTTAATTTTTGTTATGAGATGGAGGTGATACGTATTTTGGGAGGGAGCGCTTTCGGAAATAACACACGTGTAGCGGATATGACGCGTGAACGTAAACCGAATATGATAATATTTGTGCGCAGAGCGATAAATATTTTTGAGACTTCAAGGCGAACATCAACTACAAGTGAAAGTCTAAAGCGAAATATATCTGTAATACAAAACGAATCGATTATTCGCATTATCAGCTATTTATTTTTTTTATTTTATTGCAAGAAGATTTATAAATTAATGTTACCGAGTTATTCTAGTTATTCTAAAAGAATATCTCCACCAAAACGATCATCAAAATTGACTATAAGTTATATCGATGACTCTTTTTTATTATTTTTATCAGAATTTAAGTAATTTTGACTTCGTTAATCACATTTCGTTGAATATAAAACGATCGAGAGAGACAGGCTTTATTATATATTTATTATCCAATCGCGTAAAGATTTTCTATTAATCTTTAGCACTTATTTTTGACAGGAACAGGACTTAGGATGGGCCGAGCCATGCGAACAGGTGTCGTTCAACATTGAAGAGGAGTATCTTAAAAAAGCGAGAGAAGCAGGAAAGCGCGAAGGATGCCTGCTTCGTCGCAAACCGCCGCATCCGAGCGGCGAAACGAAAGAGTGGTTAGTACGAAAGAGTGGTTGCAAATGTTTTCTTTTGTCTCTCCAAAAGAGTGATTATGTTTAAAACGAGTTAAATACGCAAGTAATACGAATGAAAAGATAGATTTATAATGTTCGAGAAAGAGAATAAATTCTATAGATTCTTTTTTTATTTTTTAAATTTAAATCTGCGTGATAACATTTCTAAACGCTTGTTTGTAGAGAACTGTCTACATACCATTCCACTTTAGTGTATACAAACATTATTTGAGATTATAGGATTATGACTTATTGTTATGTATATGTAGATATTATCAATGTGTTTGATAAAACATGAAATGTATAGGAGAAGAAATATGTCGTATATGATCTCTTTTATCTTTTCAGCCGACGCACGAACCACCGAAATTAAAAACGACTTTAAAAACGCCTCCTAAACAAGCGACCAATCCTTTACAATTTGTCAAAGTCGGACCATGTTCGCTGTATCGAACCGCGCAGGAGCAACTACAGAAAGTCCAAGAAGTGAAGAAAATCAAACAGGAAGTCCGCGATGATCCTGAAGATTGGCAATCGGTGAGTAACTTCAAAAACATTGTCTTATTAATAAAAAGGAGAAGTATTCGGCACTTGATAGTCTTGACTTTAATTATATAATTTGTCATTACAAAACGGATTGTATTACAAAAACGTAATATACACCTTTTGTTTTATTAATCATTATTTTAAGATTATTAGTAATTAATCGAATTAATTATCAATATAGAAATTTATTTATTAAAATATCAATATCAATTTTCTTATTGAAGTTAACTAAATATCATATATCTTGATATATTATTCAGAAATTTATTTAAAAATTTAGATGTAGAAGATTAGTGGGTTAGTGTAATTTTCTTAGTAATGAAAGGGGACATTTCGTCCGTAGAATTTGGATAACTGGAAGAGTAGCCGGAGGAAGCGGCAGGAACATATAATCGAGCGGGTGGTCGAGGTGAAGAAACTCGAGTTAGAGGAGCACGACCGTCAGCGTCGTCGGAATAAGACCTTCTCGGAGATGATGGAGGAGCGTGGTAACAGAGGCCGTAAGCTGAGCATCAGCCTAGCTATGTACAACGACGAGGACGCGAATGATCTCAGCGACCTCGGGATCGGTACCAGCAGCGGCAAGAGCTCAGTCAGCGGTGATACGCATGACGACACGCATAGTGTTCTGGTACGCATTTATTCAAACACGTACGTGCATAATACGCACCTTGTGTCAACTCGTTTTTATTGAGAAATAGTATTTCCGATTCTCCATTAAATTTATTGACATAAATTCTACGGTCAGGAAAATTTATTTTTTTAATTCTTAATTTATTTATGAACACCTTTACATATTTTAAACAAATCAATGAGATCTTGGTCATTGCATAAAATTTTAATTTGCATTTTATTGTTTTTTTTCTTTATTACGAATTTATAAATGTATACGAAAGTATCAGCTAGTGAATTTAAAACTTACCGCCAACATGGCAACGATCTCACCAAACCATATTAATCGCTTGGCCATGTCCGCTGTACGTTCTTATATTTGTTTATGTCATATGTCACCTATAAACATTTATCTAGTCTTAAGTTACCCGTCGCGCGATCAATAGTCATTTGTATATTAGATCGACAGGAAGAGAGTAACATTACAAGTTAAAACGCACCTTTTTCCTATGAAAAATCTTATAGATATTTATTCTCACGAAAACAGCAATAATATTTAATAATATTACGCTCGCTCGTCAAATTTTAGAGCGACAGAGACAGCGAGATCGAGAAGAGCCATTCGGACGTCGATAACGCCACCGATGTGACCTCATCCTCAATGACGAGCATTGCAACGCTGACGACGACGGCAACAGTCACGACTACATCAGCAACAGCAATGATCGCATCAGCAACAACGGCGACGACAGTGGATACAGCGATGGCATCGACGACGGCAACGACGACGTCTACCGCGAGAAAAATGTTCGGTGGTGCTTTTCATGACAATCTGAATCACAATCAGGAGTACGATTCCGGTACAACCGCGACAACGAGCTCGCCCGAACCGGAAGAATATACATACGAAGGCGCTATTCGCGGTTACGTGTCGAGAGTATCGCAAAACATACCGCGGAGAAACTTGACCGGGATCGACTCCAAGTTGGAGGCGGCAAAATCGTCGATGAACGGTTCGAAGACGAACTTGAACGACGATAGTAGTAAGTCTCCGCTGTCGGTGGTAAAAGTGGATATATTGAAGCGACGCGAGGTATTCGAGAAGGCGTCGCAGAAGAGCAACGACAACAAGGCGAACAACAGGCTGTCCGGTGACTTCACTGGCACGAAATCAATCAAAGAAAGACTGTCGAGTCTCGAGAGACAGAAGTACGAGACGGAGAATGGCGACAAGACCACCAACAAGACCCTCAACCGATTGTCCGGTGACATGAGCTCTATCCGGGAGAGGCTTACCCACTTGGAAAAGCAAGCTTCGGAGCGAGAGAGCAAGAGTTCCGTTCACCGTAAGCTCAGCACGGAGGATTTGGAGACGGTAAGGCCTCTCAGGGAGAGACTGTCCACTCTGGAGAAGTACAGCAGCAGCGACGAGTCCTCGGTGCCGACTACGACGAATGAGTCACGCTCGCACAACGGCGAGCTCACCGCCAGGACAATTAAGGATCGTCTCAGCGCACTGGACGCCGCTAGGGGCAAGGATACGACGGACAAACGGGGGCCCGCACACGTCGGCAAGCATCCGCTCTGTTTTCGTGATCAGGAGAGCAGAGTCGACACGTCGACGCCCAGCGAGAGGAGCTCGTCGCCCGACTCGGAGTACCGCGTACCGCGAGCCGTCTTCCACAGAAGTCTGGACTCCCTAGACGCGGACGCGTCCAGCGGCCCGGATACCTTCGAGCGCGTGCAAAGCCTCGAGGAGCTCGATTACGGACGACAATATCCCGCTTCGTCGTCATCCGCGGAACTCCTGAATGACACGGACCGCGAGGACTCGGGTATCCATACCGCGGACGTAAGTTGCTCGGTCAGCCAAGCAGACGAGCCGATCGATGAGGAGATCGTGCAGCACACCGGCGGCGCGATCGTCGAACGACGAGAAGTCATCGTCGAGGAGCGGGTCAAGCCTACGACGTCCGTCATCCAGGAAGACGCATCGACGTCGAGTACGATAGTGGAAATGCCGAACGACACCACGACGGCTACGCACTCACAGTTCACCAGCCACCGGGAGACAGTAGCAGTGAACAAGGTAAGGGAAATATTGTGGTGCTTTTGATATCTCAATTCAAATTCAAGAGTCCCATATTCGAAGAGAAAATATTCGTGTTTTCGTGACGATTTTTATTTTACACCTCCAAGATGTAGGCATGGCAACTTAAACTGAATTTTTACATATTTTTAATTGATACCCCATATTCTAGAAAAACAATTCCATTACTAGCTGCATTTTTTCTGATACGTCTATTCTATACTTGAAAAATCAGGCATTGAGCGCTGTTTCTATCTTACTATCCTTTGTTCAACTTCTTTTCTTCTTTCTGGTTATGGGGTAACTACATATCAGGTTGTAACTGTTTGATTCTGTAGGGTACTGCTGACACCTCTGGGGAACTATCGACTAACAAATCACAGTCGCAAGCGCGCGTAGATACCGTTACTAATTCTAATACACTTCGTTCGCATACTTCCGTACTTCGCGCGATCACCACCCACCCGAGTCCCAAAATACCCCCGCGAGAAACCACGATCCCCGAAAGCCTTTCGAAACCGCGAACATTCGGCAAAGACGCGGCCGAGTTCAAGACAGATTCCGAGCCGAGTCCCAACGAGTCCATAGTATCGGCCAGCCTGAAGCTCTCCATCGAACAAGCGAGACCGAAATTTGTCGGCCAAGCGAAACGGCAGAACTTGTCCAAGGAACACCTCTCCAATCTCCCTCAGCCGTGTTCGGACACCATCCCCGTCGCGGAGACGTACCAATTGTCATTTCCCTCCATCAGAACGACGACGATCCCGACCAGCCTCTCTCTCGAGGCCAGTCCGGTTTCCAAGCCCGCTTCATGCCGCACCACGTCCAAGATTCCCACCCCTCTCCCTCGCAAAACCGCCAAATCCTCGCCGACGAGTCCCGACTCTGTCTTGACCTCGTCCGCTTCCAAAACTTCGCCCTCGAAGGCGCACGGCGCGAACAACAAGCCCACGACGAGTCAGTCTCCCTGCCCGATTCGGAGAACGTCCGAGACGGCGACCGTCGAGATTCCCTCACCCGTGTCTGCGCAAGCGAGTTCAGCGGAACTTCCGCCCTCACCCTCGTCGAGATTCGCTCCAGGGAGCGCGCGACGCCACGAGGAAGCGCTACCGCCTGCGGAACGACGTCGCACCGTGGTGGAGGTGTGCGAGAAGGTGGTGGTACCTCAGGGCAAGGCGCCCACGACGCCGCCGGTGACGCCGTTCATCACGGTGAACCGGACAATCCCCGTCGCCGAGGTTAGAAGCGAACCTCAGCAAGCCGGCAACGCCTCGAAAAATTCCTAAAAGACGCGAGGACCATCTTTCCCCGACAATAACAACCGCGCACTGTCCTCCGCTTTTGGTCAACCGCTAGACAACCCCGTGCTAGATCTCTGATGTATGTATAGAGCCACCGTCTCATCGGGCGTGTGGAAAACGCGAGGGTGTGTCGAGGGTGTGAAACGTTGAGAGAACGAGGGTACCAGGAGCAACTCCGTCTCGTCGCTTCGACCTTAGCCGCGTGCCAACTGCGTTGTCTATAAGCCGACCGGGTCGAACGGGTTGTACGACTCTTCTCCGCTTAACGTTTACACTTTCGCGAAGGTCAGCCGTGTTCCGCTTCCAGTTCTTCGAAGACTCGAGGGAGGGATTATTATCTTTATAAGGGATTTAGCGTTAACGAGCGCGCGAATCGCTGTCGTCTCCACGCTCATCGAGCGCGAAGTTACACGTGAATCTAAACTACGTACAACCATCCGCTAGTCATGTAAATAGGCGCGACGCAGGTGCAAAGCTATAAGATAATCTCCGGTTACGATATGTAGACTTTAGATCGGATTATATGCGGAAACTCTACCGTGAAACTGCCGTTACGCGGTTAGTATGGCGCAACGACGACTTGTAATAGAGTTCATAATTGCGGCATTACCGATGTCCGCGACATAAAAGCGGACAGGGCAGCCTAAGCGCTGTCGAATATATGCAATATACGCCGTTTAAGAAAGACGTAACGGCCGATCTCGGCATTAATTGACTTTAATCGGCAGTTTAACTCTATCTCCTTTCGCGATTGCGCTTCGCGAGAGCGAGCGTACGGTCGAACTGGTTGATTAAAGTTCACCGCCGATATCGACCGTAAGCGGGAATAAACTATTGTGATAACACGTTTGATCGCTCCTCATCTCAATTACGATATTAAGTCGAGCACGTTAATTAAAATATCGGCGATATCACCGGGACCGTTTCTCCAAGGAGAAACGCTCGGATAATTTCGCTTGCGGCGCGGCGCTCTGTAGCGAACTTTAAAAGTATACTCGCCGACACTTGGCACGTGATTATGACTAATTGTCATGGAACTAATTGTCATATAAGCGGTCGACCGAGAGAGAACGAACAACGATGAAATATAAGATACACTGGCCAACGAAATCCTGCCGTGTCGTATTATTTTCTCACGCATTCACGTGGATTTTATCTCGCGGAATAGCAAAGTTTTTTTTCTTGCTGTTTAACTTCTTTTTTCTTTAATTTTATTATTTGCTTTTATACATTAATTTTATTATTAAAAATCAATTCTGGATCAGTTGAAAGAATTTGCGTCCGCAGATTTCAATTTATTATTTTTTTTTTTTATTATTTATTTCATCAAATTATTGTAATTTGTAGCGACATGTAAATCGTGAATTTTGACGAAGCGAGAGATCCGTTAAATAATGCAAACAACTTGTCGACGCAAATCTTGGCGCGGTTCATCTCCACGGTTAATAGGGCGCATAAATACGCTCTTTTAATAAACGGCCATGCGTTCAAAGTACGATGGACATATCGGCCGCGTGACGCGCGGTGTCGAGGGTCAATCGCGGTGACAGTTAATTACTAATAAAGAACCGACCGCGCCGACCGTAAAAAAAAAAGAGCAGCCATGCGAGCCACGTCGCTGTCCAACGATATTTCCATCAACGGTTTGTCGCTCGTTTTGTCGGAGCGCGCGATCCGCTTTCTTTCCGCGCGTCTCTCGATCCTCCGATACACCGAAGAGGTAAGACGTCATGTACTCTTGATTGCTTCGAGCAAGCAGTCGATTTGCTTGAGCTGTGTGTTAGCCCCCCCGTATGGGACACCGTGTCGAGACGAACGGCTTCTTTTTCTTTTCTTTTGTTCAGTAGACTCCCAGAACGAATGGCAATTTCACGAAGACACGCATGTCTGTACGGATAATAGACCCCGTTCGGGTTCAGGGCCTACCTTCGGAAGTCCTCTACGCGAAATATGTTCCGATATTTTTGTGGCTTAATAACAACGGTAGAGATGTGCGAACTATTCGAATACGAATCAAATCAAATCGGGTTCGGAGAATCGGTTTTGATTCGAATTCGAAGTTCTTTCGAAAAAGAATTTATATTATACTTATCATTAATATTATTTTTCCACGTCAAAATATTCTCTTATTATCTACGTGTTAAAATTCAATATAATAATTATTATATTGTTAATAAAAAATTATATTTCAACTATTTGATTTGATTCGAATTCGAGAAAGATAATTAAATTCTTCTATTCGATTCGATTCGACATAAAAAATTCTTGATTCGCACATCTCTAAGCGACAGCAAGGAATAGCAAGAGAGAGAAAAGAGACATTAGCATGTTGAAACGGCAATCCGAAGTCATCTCTCTATTCTAGTATTCTCTAAAGGAACGGCTTGAGCAATCTGAAATAAAGATAAAAATAATGTTGATGTCATATCACTGATAGTATCTGCCTCGTTTATAATGCGTTGGCACTCATCAGAATTTCAGGCACGCGCCTAATTTGTCGATGAACGGGGGATAAGGTGGGCCCTGATCGAATTCTTTCCTTATCAGTCTCATTTAGAGTCTCACAAATACATTTAGATTGTATTTAATTGGTGAATTCCATATCGCGTCGCACCTGCACTCCATCGGAGAACTTGTGCCTCGATAGCGGAGGCTAGATATCCCTCTTATCACTCTTTCTCTCTCTTTCTCTCTCTCTCTCCCTCGATCGCCGAAAGACACTTTATTGCGCCGTGTGCGCGAGCACAGCCGGCTTTTAATCAGCCCGACAACACCTGACATCACGGTGATCTAGTAGTTGGGCGATTTTCGAGGCGTGTGCACGATCCGCTTGCAACTTGAGAAAGTGAACGTAGCTTTTCCCTTTCCCGTGTGCTCGTCACCCGCATGCGAATTTCCGAGTATGACTCGTGAGGTAAGAGATACTACCGAACGGTTGAGCGTGTATGTGTGTGTCTGTGTGTGTGTGTGTGTGTGTGTAAAGTGAGTCTTTTTTAATTTTGCCGTGTAGTGTTTGAAGAGATCGCGTGATCGAGTTGCTTCGATCGACTTGGCACTTGTAGTCTTTCCTCGACAGCCTAAGAACGCTCATTTCGCTTTTGAAAGTGAACGAGAAAAAGTGCTGAATAAGCTACTAGCTTATAGTGTAATTTGTACATAGAAATGCAACAATTTTTTAAAAATTGTTTTGCTTTGAGAAACGGAGTGGAAATGAGAAGAGTCGCGGGGAATTAGATTTATTCTGAACTGATATATTAATGTTTGATTGGTCTTGATTTCTACGCAATTATTCTGTGTTCAATTCGATTAAAATTGATCCGACGTTTCTCTCATTTCAGACGCGTTTAATCGCATTTTTATTCTTTATTCGCACCTCTGAAGCTTCTTTCCTTTCAATCGCTCACAATCTTATAATGCTTTATAATTCCTTTTAATTTTTAAAAAGGGCGTCACACAAGTGCATGGAAGACATTCACACCATTTTGATACACGATTAACGGAGCTTAATTCTTATCCGACGATGCTTTTACTGATGATCATGCATCGCCGCATCCAACAAATTATTTTTTTTGCAATATTCCACGTTAAAATATTCCAAAAATAGCGCCATGCGAAGATTTTGCAATAATCTGCATTCAGTAATTAAGATTACGCGAAGTAATATGTTCCTTTCCACGAGTATTCAAAGAATCCGCTATAGACGAGACGGTTGTGTGCGAGAGAATACGAGGGATCTCTTGATCGTAAATTGTCGTTATTCGGGTCATCGCCCAAAATCAGTGCTCCTCGAGTTCGCGTCGATTGATATCGCAATGTCGCGCCTCGGTACGTTTTCATAAAGGCGCGTCAAATCGCGGAGAAAAGCGCACGTGATTGCGGAGACTCATCGGAGACGTGTAACATTACGCAACGTGCGTCGACCTGGTAAAATGCGCCCGCGTATTCCCACAGCAGGAATTTCACATCTGGTACGCGCGAGACATTCTCCCGACGGTTTTTTTTTTTTTTTTTTCGCGCAACCGCTATATACGTGCTGGGAAAATATGCCGATCACAATTGTCAGTGAAATACGGCGTCGAAGTGCATTATATTATGTCATTTAACGATTGCGTCATCCGCGAACGCGGATGCACGAGCCTCAAATATCTCGCGGAGAGCATAATTGCAACTTGAAAGCGTCGCAATACGATTACTTGTCGTTAGAATTTTTTTTTTAAGTGATCTCGCACTTATCTCGCGTTAACTAACGAGCTCTCTGACGCTCTCTCTCTCGCTTTTGTACATAGCCGCTAAGTTGATATATATTACGAAACATTTTTCCAGGCACTTCTCAAATAATCGGGTTAATTAGGATGATTAGAAACCGAGAGGCGAGTCGCGATATTTTTCAATTACACAATTTAATCGTCGTAATGTCGCAGTGTCACATTTATCCTCGCGTCACGATTACCCTAATTACTTAATTAATTAGTATAAAACAAACGGATATATTTTTTTTACATATCCTTAGGACGTTAATTAGCCCGTCGAGAGATACGTTTGTATCCTTGAGCACTAATGAGCGCGGTCGGGATACCGAGGGAAAACGATTTTTATCCCTTTAATCAGAATTCATCCGTCTCCGATCTTCGCGAATTTGAGAAACGCTATTCCGAACCATCATCATCCGTCGATTTGCATAGAATGTAGCGTTGCAAAATCTTGGCACACGGCGCGCGATACTGCATTTTACATGCCTCGGCTACACCACGGTGTGCTCGTCGTCCCCTCAGGAACGGATCGTTATCGAGAAAGCGGACCAAGAGGAGGAGACGGCCGCCGCTGCGAATCGCCCGGCGGCTCCCGCAGTCGAGCACAAGCAGCAGGAAACGACGGAGACGTCGACGAGCGTCGGGATGCCCGCCGCCGCTGTCGTCACCATGAAGAAGTGCGACGTCGACGTCGACGTGCACGACGCGCCCAACGCTACGGTCGCCACGCCGACCGCTGACCATCCGCTGGAACGACCGACGAACCTGAGCTTAGCCAAGCAGGAAGTTGGTTTGGTCGACGCACTGAACATCCCGAGTCCAGCCTCGCCGATTTCCAAACAAGTTAGTTACAAAATCACATTGATCTCTTTTGCACAATGTAGAATTTCATGGGACAATTTATGAACGTTCTTTGTTATTTATAGATTCTACCGCTAACTCTGTCCAACGACGAGGAGATAATCGCCGATCAACCTTTCCTTCTGAGTCCGCCGACGAGCGTGGAACCCCCGAAGGAGAAACCACCGCCGCCTCCGGTGGACATCAGCGATGATGAGAATCCTGCTCCGGAGCCGCTCAAGAGATTAAACTCCACTCGCAGAATAAAGAAAGAGCTGCGCACGAGACGCTCGGATTTTCTCGGCATTGAAGGGGTAAGCGCGAAAATCCATCTACTATAGTTTCTACTCGTCTCGGTTGCTGAGTTGCTTCAAAAATAATCGATTTAACTAACAGATTTATACGAGCGTTCTCGACGTTTTGTTAATAGCAGGTCAACGACGACGATCTCGAACCTGAGTTGACGCTGACGAAACCACCGGACATGGCGGCGATTCTTGCCGAGGAGAGACGCATCGAACAACTCCATCGTCGCTCGTACGATACCGATAGTAACTACGAGCAAGATTCGAGCCACGAGAGAGATTCCGGGGTGGAATTAGGACACGTCGAGGACTGGGCGAAGCAGCCTGTTAGCCCCGACATGTCGCAGCACAGCAGACAGAGCAGCGAGCCTTTCGGCGCCAGTGTGACTTCCTCCGAGGAGGACGAAATCACAAAGAAGGAGCGGGAGATCATCGAGGTCCTCGAGAAGGAGGAACAGTGGCGATATGGCGATAATCGCGAATATAACAGGTACGGATAAATTATCAGGCACGCAATTTTTTGCTATTTCCTTTTGCGGATATAAATGTTCAAAAGAGATCTTTTGAAAAATATATCTAAAAGATCTTGAGCTTTTCAAATATCTTTTTTATTTGTTAAAAGAACGCTAGATTTATATTGGAGACAGATAAATCATGAAATACATTGTTTGATGCCATAGTGACTTGGGGGAGAGACTTGCCCACAAACTGCGTGAACTCGAGGAAGAGAAGATGCAGCTGGAGAGGGAGGCGATATTGCGCTGCAATGAGGACGCGTTTCGCAAGAGGGACGACAACGCACGTAAGCAGGAAGATGCTTCCTCACACGAGCAAACGCAACAGCAACACGATGAGACAGCGAAACAGCGGGAGATCCAGACGCGAACGACGGAGGAGGAAGCAAAGTACGTCGGAGACAAGCGAAAGGACGAGGAGCTTGAGACGCAGTCGGAACAACTGAGGATGCAGAACGAGATCGAGGAGAAAGAGCGGCGAGTCGCTGATGCGTGTCGCAAAGAGGAGATGCGCATCCGAACGATGGAAAGTCAAATTCGTGAGCAAGAGGTAAGGCAAATCCTTCGGTTTTACATTCTTCGAACGCGAGACTAACGAGGAAAAAGAGGCTGATTTTATAAGTAGATAGTGAATTTATAGAACGAGGTATCTATTATCTTCCGAGTATATTCTTTCTGTGACATTTCTGCCAATCGTTTTTTTGTTTTCCCCGGGGAAACTTGAAATTCATGCACAAATTTCTTCTATCCGAGGCACGCATTTTTAACCGATAGCTTGGAAATATTATCCTTGGGGCAATGTTATCTTGATTCTCGTCAATGTCTCTATCGTATTACTTTTATTTATATATTGAGAAATTGCACGGTAGTTATTATTGCAACATTGCCCGAAGGATTCGATCGGTTCAGTAGTATGGTGCAAATCAAGTATATAGCGTAGTGTAAATATTGATAGAGGGATTGCTAATTATTCGCAGAGCAAGGCATTGGTCGGTGCTGGGTTGAGCAACAACGAAGATGAATTCCCTTCCGGGGTAAGACAACAGTTGTCTTCACCACTGTTTTAGTCGCTTTGTTTGCACGGAACTTTTACATATATAATTATTCGTATAGGAATTCTGTGCATCCCTTTATTACTATCCCTTTTAAATTTCTTTCGGACATTTCAACTAATCTCAGCTTAATTCGATATGATCTCTTTGAATATGTTAATAATATGTTAAACTCACGCGAATAGATTACTCACATAAGAGACGTATTTAATTTTTTATTATTATATTTGCTAAAACGTATAAGTTCTATCGTGAAGGTAACAAATAAAAATTAAAAATGGTTTGAGCTAAATGTATTTATTTATGAATTTCAAAAATATCTAGAGTTCTTGCTGTTTTAATAATAATTGCTTTTATTTAAGAAAAAAATAACTAGAATTAACGCGATAGAAACATTCATATTTAGTATTTTAAACGTGCATGTGAAGAGATAATAAATGCAATCGTAAAGATATAGATACTATATTATATATTATCCTTTTAGGAAGTGCTACGAGTAGAAAGGGAACTTCTGCAATTGGAGCAGGAAGAATTAAAGAGACAACGCAATAATTTGGCCTATCGCGAGCAGAAGCAGCTTAGGTTGGCAGAACAGTTACAAGAACAGTGGCAATCCTTGCAAGATGTCGCGCAGAATTCTGTTAAAAACACGCAACAATATAAATATCACACGCCCGCAGTAAATTACAGATCTTCGATGCCAAACTTGCAATTTCAAGACGCGCCAAGAAGGAGACCACCACCACCACCGATTCCACTTTCTAAACCACGTATGCTAGATCAGAGACAAAGAGATGTTACAATCAGGTAAATACGATAATAAATCATATTGTACACTCTGATACCTATTATTATATTAAATTTCTCTTAACTATATAATAAGTGTTAATTAAATTATATCTAAATTAAAATGAAATATTTTTATATGATAATAAGACGAATTATCAGGTACGGAACGACATGGTAATTAGTATTATTAAATTTCTTTATTTAATTGGGAATGTGTAGGAATAGCCGTATACCATCCGCGGATTCAATTCCCCAACAAGTAGACGCGTCGATTCGAGAGAGCGCATCGACAACAACACTTGGAAATCACACTGGTCAACAAATGTCCAGGCAGACCTTACAGGCATTAAGCGCAGTACCGCGTCCACGAATTGTTCAAGGTGATCAATGGGTCCAGCGAAGAAAGAGTGACGTGCCAAGAGGTGCTCACGATGTGAACTATCAACATTGGATTATTCAAGTACGTATTAGAATTATTTTTATTAATTGGCATATATATAAATATTATTTTCTGTACATAATCCTTTTAAAGACGTTAAATATATTACCAAAAGTTTGTTGGAGACCAAATAATTTATTATTTCTGAAATAAGATTTTATTTTTATTAATTTTTTTTAAGATTTAATTTTTCAGTTATTCTAATTTTTATCAAATATTCAGTTATTCTATTAAATTTCTAATAAAATCAAATGCTTGTCTTATCTCAACTGTTTCTCGACAGGAAGCGGAACAAAGGAGGATTAATGAGAGAAACCAACGATCACCGGCGCGAAAATCTCAACCGCATGTAACTGGCACTTCCGTACCATATAACGCTCCAATTCGGACAGATAGCAAACCGCTACCCGATTCTATCATACAAACTCTAACACAAAGGGTACAGAATAAAACGCAGGAGAAACCTCTTTTAACAAGGCGAAGGTACATTTAATTAATATTCGGCAATTTACGAAAAAAAATTATTTTACAAACTATATATGTTATAATATATGCTATGTTATAATATGTTATAAATTGATACTCATTTTTCAGTAATAATACATAAAGAAACAATTTTTTAATGACCAAAAATAATATCTATATATTCTCTAATTTTTTGTTTATATTTGAATTTTCATCTAGACTTTCTTTTCAAAATTTTTATAATTTATGGAAATTATCTTCTTTTCAGGCCGGAGCAAGTTCTCAATCAAGAACATTTGACGGTGCAACATCAATCGCCACAATACACACTGCAGTCTCAAAAAACACAACACGCGCCAATCGCGAATAACAACGGGAATCAGGAAAAAATGCTGAGCGTGAGCGGAAAGAAGAAGTGTTCGCATTGCGGAGAAGAATTAGGTAATATAATAGGCTAAAATTAAAACGTTCTTTCATCATTATAAATATCCTTGCGATATCCGTAGGTCGAGGCGCCGCGATGATAATCGAGAGTCTACGATTGTTTTATCATATGGAATGCTTCAAGTGTTGCGTGTGCCACGTGCGTCTTGGCGATGGATTGATGGGAACGGACGTGCGTGTCCGAAATCATAAGCTCCACTGCCATAACTGCTACTCCAGTGACGACGGTACAAACATTTAATTTTTATTTAAATCGTTAAATATAATTGTACGATCGAGCGCGTTTTGATTCTGAGAATATTCGATAAAATACACATTGCCCTCGAAACAACGAAAGAAAGAACGTCTTGAAAATCTCACGTAAAGGTAATTGCCAATATAAAATATATAAATATACAATGTTTATTACATTAAAAGTTTTATATTATAAAAACATAAAAACAATTATTAATGCGATTGTGAACGTACAAATATGCGTAACGGAAAAATATCCTCATCTGCGAATTTACATTGCTGTCGAATTTTCAGGTGTCAAGTTCAGTTGTGTGTAGAAGCCTGGCGCTTAACGGAATTAACGCTGATCAACTTGATTGTAATATTTTTCGGCTATATCTTGAGATCTTCATAATCGACCGTTTAGTTACCCTTATTTAAAAGTGTCATGTCGACACGCGACTTAAAATGAAATGCGTAAACATAATTTTTTGACAGGTCAAATAAGAAGAAAAAACAGGTCCGTGAAGTTGGCACCCGACTTTAACAAAATGAATTTTTAAAAAAAGGAAATTGTAGCATTTTCTTTGTAGTTGTTTGTAGTAACAATAATTTCGTTTGTAGTTTTACCGATTTTGCAAAAACAAAGATTTAAAAAAATCACTCTTGCCTAAAATTGAGATATTTGAAATTCGCTCGCGCCATGTGTTTTAGAATCGTTTGTAGTTGTTTGTAGTAACAATAATTTTGTTTGTAGTGGAATAATTTAAAAGTTGCAATGTATTTGTAATAAACAAATTACGTATCTTTGTCAATTTTAAAGATATCTCGAATCCGCTTGCGCCATGTGTTTTAGAATCGTTTTTGTCAGACAACTACATGGCGCGAGCGAATTTCAAATATCTCAATTTTAGGCAAGAGTGATTTTTTAAAATCTTTGTTTTTGCAAAATCGGTAAAACTACAAACGAAATTATTGTTACTACAAACAACTACAAAGAAAATGCTACAATTTCCTTTTTTTAAAAATTCATTTTGTTAAAGTCGGGTGCCAACTTCACGGACCTAGAGGAAACGTTATCACTGTCCGTCGCGCGGTATATTATTTTCTGTATTTTTTATTCAAGGTAGTGAGTTCACATATGTATGCAATACTGTTACTACCAACTAACACGAATCATACGCGAAGGATGTATATAAGATGTATTTATATGTAATTAGTATAGTGATAAGAAATCATAATTGTTGAGATGGTTTAACTGTGGAATGTAACTGGCGTCACTTTACTGACGCTGTATATTTTTGTAATATAGTTCTCGTACTATTTATACCAGGTATATCTATTTTACAACGGTTATAACAGAATGCGCGCGACTGTTTTTCTCAAGCGAAGTCTTCGATTTCTTTTTCGATCTTTTTTTTTTCTTCGGAAGCGAGAATAGCGTGAGGTTGAGGTCTCCGCCGAGATAATCAAACTTTGCTCGCTTTGCGGCGTGGCCGATAGTTACGAACAGTAGCGGATCTAGCAATATACTAACGTAGTTCAAGCTTCAGGAAAATATCGAGAGACTCCTGACCACGGTTGTATATACAACCGTGCTCCTGACAGACAGATATGTGCCAATGTCACTTTTTGACTTGAAGTTTTTATTTTGTTTTCTTATAAACTTTAAAAATTTATTTTGTCAAATAATGTCGATCGAGATAAGGTCTATGTTAATTATATTTTTTATGTGTATCCTTATTTCTAAAATATGACTTTTGACATAAGTATTCCTTATGTTAATTAAATTACGCCTACGGATCGAGCTCTTTTTAAAAGACACCCGTAGGAATATTAGTTTTAAATCCGGCAAGAGAACGTAGATCCGCTATTGCGAATTAAAATGCAATTCGTATCGGCACTTCCGCACGCGAGTCTCTCAATCGCTTCTCGCAATTGTGTCGAAGACGTGGTTACATTGTGAAATATTGTAACATACGCGTCTCGTGTTATTAACGTAATTTTATATTATCGAAGAGAATAAATACAAAACAAATATGGGATCGTTGTTCTGTAAAAACACTCTTCCTACCTGTTCTATGAACTTTTCCCTCAAGCGAATCGTAAAATAGCCGATATTTTATTGAAATTCAAATTGTAGTGGCTTTATTTAAAATAAACATAGATGTATACAATAGACTGAACATTGCTATTGAGAGCTGTATACATACATACGGAAGATCTATAGGACAGAGATATGCTTGTGCTGGGGCGCTTTCCTTGCCTATAATTGTACATTTTTGGGGAGAAAAAAAGGTGAGGAAACAAGGGGAAGCATCCCAGCAAGAGAGCATATACCTTTGTCCTTTAGAAGTTTAGATCTTCCGTAGAGCTCTACAGCTAATGTTCAGTCTATTATATACGTCAATACGTCTATAAAAATGAATTTTATTAATCAAGTTAAGCGCCAGCAGAAGCAATAAACTTTCCAATAAATGTGATACAGTAAGTGCGTTTATAAAAGCCATAAAAATCAGAATTTTTGTAAATGACGGACTCGTTTCTGATCTAAACCTGTTAGAGACAAATCGGTGAGTAAAAACACCTTGATAGGGGAGAAGGAAGGGACTTTGGCCAACTTTGGCCGAGCTCCGATTAACTTCATTTATTGACGATTAATTCAACCGTCAGATTTATAACAAATTTCTAACTGCGTGATTCGTTGTCCCGAATTTTCTTTCATATATCAATTAATAAATCTAATTAGCAGTAATTTCTTCAATTAAAAAAATAGCAATCAATTAATAAAATTCTAATAACACAGATACGTTAATTAATCTCTTGCATCTCTTCATCCTTCCTCTCTTTCTTTTCACGTTGGAGAGAAAAAGAGAAAAGAATAAACAGTCAACGGTGCAAGAAGTTCAGAAAGAACAGTTTGTTCGCCGGCATCGCCGGCTTGGGAGTTGGGAGACCGCCAGCCCGACGTAATTACGTGTTTCGTTAATTTCACTATTTATTCGTATTTCGTGTGAAGTAACGCAGATATTCTCGATCAAGGAGATTTTTTTCCTACGTATGTATCTCAGAGTTGTATGGAACATCAAAAAGACTCGAGATTGCGAACGGAGTGACGAATTGTCGAGAGTGCTCGAGAGGTGCCGTTTTTGAGGTTAAAAGATCGCTCTTTAATCTTTCGAGAAAATAAATCTTATTTAGAAGGTACGAATTATCTCTCACGGAGTCTGCCTTTCCTGCGAAGGACAACGCTGTAACGTCTCTCGCTCGGGATTGTCATTTCGCGTTGTTACTGAGAACCGTTATCACGGTTTGATTCCACATGCTTGTGTACACGATCGAGTATGGCCCTTCTAACCTCAAATATTTCTATGATAAATTATTACAACCTTTCGAATGACGATTCAATTGCCCTTTTTGTTCGCGAAGACACGCGACAGCAGCGAGTTTCCTCCAAACCGATGGGAAAGTCTGTACACCCTTACCCATTTGCCGTTTAATGCTTTTTCAAGTGGTGCACCGCCATGTGTTCCCACGAGACTGTCGCGTGGGAAATCACGGACAACTCCGTCGCGGACAGAATGATCGACAACTCCCTGATACACAAATTCAGGCCGTCGCGGAAGATACGAAGGAGGACGAAGGCGCTCAACACCGAAATAAGGAAACATTGCGGCGTGAAGGATTACAAACACTATACGGAATTGAAGACCAGTGTCCTGCGACATTTGGCACGCGACACCGACACCGGCGACAGCAGCAGCCTCACCGACGTCGACTACGATATTATATACAGCTCTCCGTCGAAACGGGCCAAATATGTGGCCAAGAATTCTGTGAGATACAGTTTTACCAGCGAAGAAGAGTGCAAAGGATATAAAAAGACGAGCGTCAAGGCGAAGAGCGGAGGTAGGAGCACAGAAAGAAGAGTACAAACTAGAAAATCACCGCAAGTGAAGTATACTAAAAAATATATTGATGTAGGCTGGCAAGAAGTTACAAAGAAAAGCAGTAGCACGCCGCTCTTGCATACAAGTATCTCGGATAACGAAGGAATGGTTTTGAAGGATAATGATTATTGTCATTTTATGGCTGAATCTAGTAAGCAATCTCTTTCCCCACGACTCTGTTCCCAAAACAGTACATCTAGAATAATAAAACATATAAATGAACACATGAGACAGAATCGTGAAGACGCTAATGCAATGGAAAATAAATTAAGTTCCAAAAATAATACGATATCCAATAAGACAAAATCTGTACGTGGAAAAAAGGTACAGAATAACAAAAACCAAAAAGCGACAATGAATGAATCGAATACTACATTTAATTCACATGATTCACATCATCAACCGTCTCTGTCTCGATCAACTTTAGAAAATAGCAATGATTTTGATAATAAAGCAAATACTCTTGTCCAATCAGAAGATAACGATAGCAACAAATTAACAAGTAATGGAAGCTCGATGAACACAAAGAATTATAACAATACGTGTGCGAATCACAAATCAGAATTGTTAAAAAATGTTAAAAGGAACTTGGTATTGGTACTAGAGAAAATCGATTCTACGAATAATAAGAAAGATATTGAAACACATAAAAGTCTAGAAGATAGATTGAATAATGATCAATTACTTCCAGCTACCATAAGTTTTGATCGACACAGTACGTCATTAAGGAACACAGGATCTAATATGCCTAAGATAAATGATTTGTCACCGGATACTTCATTGTTGGACCACCAAAAAGATTCAGGAATCGATGAAGATTCACAAGATAGAATTGTCAAGATTAAAAGATCTAATAAGATTGCAACAAGTCGCAATATAGAAGAAAACGTGGAGAAAATATCTATTTCTCCAGAACTAAGGAAGAATGACGAAGTAATTGAAACAGCAAAAGATTGTAAGGAAGCTGAAAAGGATGCAGATTTAAAATTTAGCAACGACATTTTAATAGACCAAATCAGCAAAAAAGAGAAGGAGCCTTCCAGAGAAGAAAAAATGAAAAATTCTTCCCAAACAATTCAAAGTGATATAAACATAGATATAAATCAGGAAGATAAAGAAGATGAACATTTTGCAAAAACAGAACATTCAAATAATATTCAAAACCAACAATTGCTATATCCTAAACAAGATTGTATGAAGAATGCTCATTCCGAACCTTGCAATCATATACAAACAGAAGAAGATCATAGAAAAGTAAGGAAGTCCTCTGAAGAAGAAGAAATATCCCTTGAATTAAATAAAATCGATAAGGATACAGAGGTTTCTTCAATTAATTGCGAAGGTAAGACACATTTTTTGAAATTAGAAAATTCGTGCGATATTCAAAACCAGCAACTGCTATTTCCTAAGAAATGTTATGTAAAAGATACAGTAAATCAAGAAAGTATTTGCACACCCAGTTTTCTTACAATAACTTTATTCGAAGGCATAACACATAAATACGAATTGTCTAATAAGTAATTTATAACATGCGTATATGAATGTGTAAATACTTTTTTGATTTACTGTATATATGTGAAATTTTATTTTAGTAACATTTTAGGCGAAGGTAACGGACAAACAGACGAAGATAAAGAAGAAAAAAATTTCCCTCAATTAAATAAAACTGATAAGGACGCAAAGACGCATTTAATAAATCAGGAAGACAAAATTTGCATGAATCTAGAAAATACATATGATGTACAAAAGCAGCAAATATTACCTAAAGTTATGCATACTGAAATTCTCCATAAAAAATATAAGATAATAAATAAGAAAGATAATGATGTCAAGAGTGATATTGAGACAATTGATGATATTAATATTAATACGGACATCACCAATAAATGTACTCCTATGAAAAAGAATACATTAATACATTGTCCAGATGTTATTAATCAAAATACCGATAATTGGCAAGATGCAGCAATAAATGCGGAAGAAATTGATGCACCAATAGCATTGGAAACTGATAATGAAGAGATGAATGTGAGTTATGTATCGTCTCAAACCAAAAAGCGACTTCAGCAGCAAGCGAGATTGAATTTAGTTGTGAGCAGCGATTCCAGTGAGAGCGATAATGAATATGTTACAGCTAAAACCTCGCGAAAGCATATCGACACTTCAGATACAAGTCGTTGCACTGAAGACGACAGAAATGATGAAACCAATCACGCTTTCAAGCAAACAGACATTTCGCATAACGAGAACATTTACATACCCAAAAAGGCTATAGTTCCTACAGAAGTAGCGAAATTAGGGTCAACAAATATGAAGGAAGGAATAAAGAAGAAAGCAAAATCGTTAATAAAATGTACATACGAAAATAATGATTTAATTCAATCTACGGCAAACAAAAATTTACTCAAAGAAAAGCAATATTGTAAAAATGTACATGATGATGATCGAAGTAAAGATGACAGTTTTCAGTTAAGAGTTTCTGAAAGTAATGTTTCGTGCAATAATGAAAAATCTGTTACTCAAGTTGAAGGACACAAACAATCTCCTTTATTAAATAAAAAGAACATGTATACCAAGAGTAATGCAAATGAAGAAATAATGAGGACCGAGTTTGGGACAAGACATAAATCTGAACATGAGCCAAGTGTACGAGCATCAACCAATTTCTGTTCAGACACACATCTTAATATTTCTTACGAGTATAGACCATGCAATGTAAGTAAAATTCTATACATGTGATATTAGAATTCTTCTTATTATATATTGATATCTCTACATTTAACAAAATTTTAAACGTTTAAAAAAATAATATTTAAAAAATCAAATTTTTGTTTTTCTTTCTACATTGAAATATATTTCTTGCATATAACAAGATCGAATAAGTTTTGGAATTAATGTATGTAAATCACAACTATTTTTGTTGTGAATTTTGTTATTAAAAAAATATAAAATTTTTAATTTGCAATACTTGAAAACTAATTGATTAATTTTCTTTTTAGTTACAAGAATTAGTTGAAGATCAAGGATTACTTGTGAAAACAATGCCAGCAAATTTTACATTGGCCGATCTTTCTGAAGACGAAGAAGCTTTTATCTTGAACGTTCCAAGCAAGGTATACTTTTTTTTATAAATTCTATAAAATGGCAAGCATCTTTGTTAATGCAAACTGTTAACTTTAATTGTTACTCTTTATTTAATTATTATTTTAATAATTTCTATTAATATGTGATGCAACATATAATTATGCAACAAATTTAATTTTGTTTTTTAAAGCAGATTTGTGTAATAGAAAGCAAACTTGTATAATAGAAAAGAAAAAATAGTTTGAAATAAAAATATTATTTTTAGATCTAATTTTTTAATTTTTAAATTATTCTATAATAGGTGATACAATGTAATTTGCAAGATCAAGTACTGACATTAAAAAAGAAGTCAATAAAATTCGGTGAAAGTAAATACAGAATCGTGCGCAAAGAAGTGGGTACTACATCTTGCATTTTTGCAACTGGTAAAAAACGGAAACCTTATAAGATAAGTAAGTAGTTTGTGTCGATAAATGGTAATATTACATTTCTCATATTTAATTGTAAAACAAAAGTTAATAAGCTTCTTGAATAAATTTATAATAGAAATATGTATAAAAAAATAAGTTATTTCTAACGGAAAATGATTTAAAATCTTTTATCTCAGATAATATCCTTTATTGAGTGTATAAGGACTTTCTTTATAACTTATTTCACTTTATTTTGTAGTAAATATTAAAAAAGTCAGTACTATTACTGTCCGAGAAAAATTGCCACGAGATTTGAGAAACACAGAAGTATCCAGTTCTTATCCTACTGTTTCTTCTGTACTAAAACCAATAAAAATGAACAATCGACAAACAGATGAAGCAGATTCAAAAATGATGGAAGTTTTAAATCATAAGAAACGCAAGCGAAGAGAAAGTTCAGGTAAATGAGTTATTATTAATTATTACAACGTACTCTCTAATAAATATATAATACTTATTCACCATACATTACACGTGTTTCTAGACATAATTTTACAATCTTTAAATTTCTCTAAATATTGCACTCGTGTTTTCTTCTAACGCTTTATACTTTGCATATCTATCTTTTACACTTTATTTTTTCATACTCTATTTTCTCGTTCGTGCATATTCGCGTTTTATAACATTAATTCTCTCTTTCTCCCTCCCCCTCCCTCTCTCCCTCCCTCCCTTCCTCCCTCCCTCCCTCCCTCCCTCTCTCTCTCTCTCTCTCTCTCTCTCACACACACACACACACACACACACATGATTTCCTCAATCTCTATTCCCAATTCTCTTTTCTTCCCTATAACATTCCCAACCATTCTTTAATTTCTTCCCTTACTAATTCCCTCATTTCCTCACATTTTCACATGTACTTCACACCTTCTCTTCTATCTCATATACCGTATATTTCTCCCTCTCCATATAGTGTCTCTTTTATTTCCAATATTTCCACATCTCATTCTCGCTCATTGTTCTTTGTCCTCTTTTATCCTTTTATCCCTCCAATATGCTTTCTGCCTTATTTCTACTATTCAGTATATAAATATTATTACACAGTGAACTAATTATTATTGTTCTATTCAAAATCATTTGTCCAAGAATTGTGTTATCAATTAACCTTCCATCTGTATACGTGAGTCTATGGCGTCCGAGCCAAAATGATATCTGCTTGTAACTGTAAAACTTAGAAGCCTGCCAGAAAATATTAAATAAATGATGTTTATCGAAATGACTATGAAATCGTCAACTACAGATGTAGACAGATGTTTCGTGAATTTTTTTAGATTTAAAAAAATACAAGGTAGAGAAAAATAGCGTTGAACGTGACCCACGTATACACTCCAAGGGTGTAAAAAAACGGAGAGTTAAAAGTTTATTTTGTTTATTTTATGCATCGTTTTTTTTTCTTAAATAAGTAATTATTAATAAGAATAAAAGATAGGCGTGCAAAATTTTTCACCGATCTGATATAAAAATAATATTTTTTCAGGTTCTGAAACTGAATATTTGTGATGACTGATGAAGACAGGACGATTAAAAGTTTTTTTTAAATTTATTTTTAAAAATTAAAAATGTCAACGAAAAACGAAACTGAAAACGTTTGATTACAAAAAAAATTTTATTAAAAACATTTAATATCTGAATACTTCACATTGCATATATAATGTGTATAATCTACGTGCGCAACACGTGTATATGAAGAGAAGTCACCACGCTCGGACATGAGTAATGGGACTGAGGAGGATTACATTGCGGATATTAATGGAAATCTCTCACAATTGGATCCTAATAAAGGAATATTCTTAAATTGTATTCAATTTATCTTATCTTCATACATATCGTTTAATTTGTAATATCTAATATAATTATATAATTCATACAATAGCGTTTATATTTAATTTATACATAACGAACATGCTATTTGTAAAAAAAATAACGAAAGTTTCAAATATGAAAGGTTTATTTAGTTATTTCTGTGATATTATCATGCATACTTACTGTTTATATGTTATTATTAGTTTATATAGAGCATATATGAATATAAATAAATATATATATATATATATATATATATATATATATACATACACATATATACTACGTGTTGCATAGAAATAAGGAGGAACAAAAATTTATGTCAATTATATCTACGTATAGAGTATGTAGCATTCGTTTATTAAGCTCCATCTACATTTATCGTAACGCTTTAATCATAAGCTATCGTGGTCATAAGGAAAGAGGCTATCGTAAATATTATGTGTATATATAAAATCGCAATACATATAAGTTGTGTCGCACAACAGCAAATGGCGAAACATAATATCAGGAGCCAAGTAGAGCTGTTACGATTAACATTACAATAGATGTAGATGGACCTTTAGACAAAAATATGAAAAGATTATGAAGAAAAAGTACAATTCAAGAGATGCGTGTTTAATACAATAAGTTAATTTATGTAATATTACATTAAAATGCTCAGTTCACGTACATATTATGTAGCAGCGAATTTAATATATCTAATTGTAAAAATAATTTTCAATAATAAATGAACTTTCAGATGTTTTACATTAAATTTCAATTTATTATTGAAATAAATTGTGTTAAGTGCGCTAAGAGTATGTTCGACTCTATTGATTGCAAACCAATAATGGAATTGCACCATTATGCAAGAAATACTCATATTACATTTTCTACATACTCCTTTACTTATACACGGTATCATTAAGAAACGGGGGGAGTCTCGTGTAACACGCTAAAAAGTAAGGTAACTTTTTTTTTTTTACAATCAATGCGACGGATTTTTCTCAAACTTTTAGGGTATTTTATTATACATTTTAAGAGATAAAAAATTTTTTTTGTTAAAAAATAATAGTTTTGTTAGGAACTATGGAGGTTACGAAGTCGCGGTCTCGTCGCCGGAGTTGTAAATCGGCGGGCGTTATAGCAGCTAATGTACTCACCTGAAACAAAAATAAAAAAAATTTTCTTATTCTCCATAAAATTACGTCGTCGATGAACCTAAAAAAGAAGGTAAAAGTGCAAAATTAAGGAAACGGTGGGACTTAAAAAAAAGTTGCAATT